TCTGGAAAAAAAACGATTTGTTGGATGAAATAATAGATAAATAATGGAATAATGGCAATGAAAAGTGTTATTCACACGTAGATACATGTGTGTTTATATCTGTGTGTGTTTGTGTATGTGTTTCCTTGTTTCAAAGATTGTGTGTGTTTGTGTACGGGTTTCCTTGTTTGAGATCGTGTGTGTTTGTGTGTTTCCTTGTTTGGGAGATTATGTGTATTTGTTTATGTTTGTGTATGTGTTTGTTTGCTTGTTTGACAGCTTTTGTGTTTGTTTGTATTTAAGTATTTGTTTTCGTAATTTACAAAACTGCCAACCTCCAAAGTGACACAATAAACATATTACAAAAAACAAACATTATAATAAAAGACATGGAAAACGATAGCAGATCAACATTACCCGAAATTCCCACGAGGTTCCACTTGGGATTCACTGGTTTATCCGTTCCTACGAAAATATACGATAAATATGAAACAGAGAAAAAAGAAAGAAAAAAAAAAAAACATTGAACTACAGACACAAAATTAAAGTTTAAGCGATACTTTTTCCTTTTATATCTAACACAAAATTTGTATAGTACTAAAAGAAGTACTTTAATTACTATGATGTGTATCGAAAATAAATGTAATATTAATAAAAGATATATGAATTTATGAATGAATAAGATCAGCGTTAACCTTAATAGATATAATTAAATATGTTCTAAGTTTTATCAAAAGCAATCAACCGTATAATACGTACATAAATAGGTATATAGGTATGTAGGTATATAGATCGATAGAGAGATACGTAGAAAGAACGATAGATAGATGTACAGATAGATAGATAGATAGGTAGACAGATAAATAGATAGATATGTAGATATAGATAGATAGATAGATAGATAGAAAGAGAGAGAGAGAGAGAGAGAAAGAGAAAGAGGGAGAGAAATAAACAGACAGGTAGGACAAAAGAGAGGGACAGATATCTCGATTGCAGACAGACAGACAGAGAGCCGAATCCGCAAGAAAGAGCCTCACTTGGTGTAGCCGTCGATGTCGAAGCCGTGCCAGTAGCGATCGTCCTGATGGGGCCTCCAGCGAGCCCAGAATTTCTGAACGAAAAAAATGGGAAGTGAATGATACGAGTTGTGGGAGAGAAGCATGACACGCGAACGCAAATGTACGCACATAAATACACGGGCAAACACGTGTATGTGTGTGTGTATGTGCACAAATATATATATACATATACATACACACACATATACAAATTGTGGACACGCAAACGCAAATGTACGCACATACATACACGCACAAACAAGTGTATGTGTGTATGTGCACAAACGTATATTTACACACACACACACACAAATGAGAACACAGCAACCCAAAAAAGGAGCGAAGGACACCTTACCTGGAATTGGTTCTTGAAGTCGAAGGATCCCGTGGGCGCTTTTATCCTGAAGAAGGGCGCGGCGGCTGCATGGTGGACCGTCGTCAGGATTGCCAGAAGGAGAGCAATTGCAAGGCGGATCCTCATCTGGTTGAAGAGAAAGAGAATCAATGTTAAGGTCGGTTCTTTGCGTTCACCAGTGTCAAAAAAATGAATTGAAACTCGGTATATGGCGTTTCAAGTTTCTTCCAATGCTGTGGCTGTTTCACTAATATTCGAATAATAATAAACTAGCTTAAACAGCGAGCTCTTCACTTTTTCTCCATTCACTGTTTTCACAGAAGATTCGAATAAAAACGACTGGCTATTCAAAACGCCCAGATTTTCGTTTCCTTTCGGTTCATCCATCACGGAATGGAGGGTTTCAGGCTATGATTGATGTGCGACGCCGGCGCCCCTGAGTTGCCGGCGGCGGAGGTGCATGCGGGGCGGCCGCGATGCGCAACATATCATATTGCTTTATATATTATATAATATTATATATATTATATATATTATATATATACATACATACATATATTCTATATATATATCATATATATATATATATAAATAATATCATATAAATATATACTATATTTATCATTATATATATATATTATATATAATATATATAACTATAATATATATGGTTGTATATATTATTTTAATATTATAATAATAATCTATTAAATATAATATTATATATATAATATTATATTTATATATATCTATTATCACTGGTAATTCATATATTTATTATATGTATATTCATATATATGTATAAAGTATATTATCACATTATATTAATATATATATATATTATATATACTTTATATATATTATAATCTATATGTATGTTATATTATATGTATGTATTATATATATATATATATATATATATATCCTATATTTGTATATTTATATATTATATTTAACTGTATGGTATATATATATAGCTAATGTTATTTGTGTGTGTGTGTTCGTGTGTGTGGTGTGTGTGTGGTGTCTATGTGGTGGGTGTGATATAAATTATATAATGACTATATTTATCTTACTCCAAGATTGGGCACAAGCTGAGTACTCTGTTTCTTATGCCCAGGTTTCCGGTCGTTGATCCAAGAACAGAGTTTCTTACCATAAATTCGACTTACACAGCCTCCTCTCTCCTCCTCCTCTCTCTCTTCATTACCTTGGCTTCGACTAACATCTGCATAATCGAATGAATAATTTATGGAACAAAGAACGCCCATTTCGACGGTTAATGGGTGCAAGGTCGCTCCGCCGCCGCGCCACCGCCTCTTCCTCGGCCGTGAAAGTAGTTCCGAGATGATATCGAGTCAAACTACACCAATTGTGGAATTTTTATGGTTTTATTATCAACCGATTCCTTTTGGCGGTTCTATTATCTTGTCTTTTTTATTGACGTGATGCATTTGGTTACCTTAGAGTGGTTCTGAGTGAGGAGGTGGAAGGGAGGTAGGTAGATTAAAGGAGGGACAGATAGATAGGATGAGTGAGAAAGAAAAAGTTAGTAAGTGAGAAAAGGAGAGAATGTGAGTGAGTGAGAAAGAGAATGAGAAAGTAAGTGAGTGAAAAGTGAGTGTAAATGTATGAAAAAGAGAGAGAGTGATGAGTTGAGAAATGGAGAGTGTGAGAGAAAGTGAGAGTTGAGAAAAGGAGAGAATGTGAAATCAGTGAATGAGAAAGAGTGAAAAGGTGAGTGAGTGAGAAAGAGCGAGAAAGTGAGTGAGTGAAAAGAGACAGAAAGTGAGTGAATGAGAAAGAGAGAGAAAGTGAATGAGTGAGAAAGAGAGAGTGTGAGAGTAAGAGAGTGAGTGAGTGAGAGACGGAGGAGAGAGAAAGATAAGAGCGAGCGAGCGAGAGAGAAGATGTAGCAGAGAGAGATGGGGAGAGAGAGAGAGAGAGATAGATAGATAGATAGATAGCTTAGATAGATAGATGAGAGAGAGAGGGAGGAGAGAGAGAGGAGAGAGAAAGATAAGAGTGAGTGTGTGTGGACATACAGACCAATACAGATGAAGAGAGAGAGGGAGAGACAGTCAGAGAGAGAGAGAGAGAGAGAGAGAGAGAGAGAGAGAGAGAGAAGAGAGAGGAGAGAGGAGAGAGAGATGAGAAAGGAGAATATAGAGGGAAAAAGAAAAAAAAAAGAAAAGAAAGGAAATAAGCCTTGAACAAATTCACGGATATTTCTGCTTTAATTAAAAAGCAGCAGTCTGACAGCGGCAATACCCCCCTCCCCCTTCTTCCCCTTCTTTTTTCCCCCCCTCTACGTAGGCCTACATGAATGGAATGCGTGAGAGGGAAAGTGGTGGCCAGCGGAAAAGGCAAGAAAGAGGGAGAGAGAAGGGAGGGGGGGGTGAGAGGATGTTGAGTGAGAGTAGAGAAGAGAGAGAGAAGAGGGAGAAGAGAAAGAGAGAGAGAGAAGAGAGAGAGAGAGAGAGAGGAGAGTGAGTAGAGAGAGAGGAGAGAGAGAGAGAGAGAGAAGAGAGAGAGAGGGAGGGGGGTAGGGGGAAGAGAGCGAGAGTGAGTTGAGAGAGAGAGAGAGAGAAAGAGAGAGAGGAGAGAGAGAGAGAGAGAGAGAGAGAGAGAGAGAGAGAGAGAGAGAGAGAGAGAGAGAGAGAGAGAGAGAGAAAGAGAAACAAGCCAGGCAATATTGACAGAACAATAAAAGCAAAGCAAAAAAACAAACAAACAAACAAAAAAACGTTATCTCTAATAATATCAAAGTCCTTTACGACAGAAAATTCAGGAGAGATTAACGGCGAAATTCGGTTATTAGCTACTACCTCTCCCCCCCCCCCCTGCCTCCTCCCCACTCCACCCTCGGTTTCCGCTGGGACCTTGAGAAGCGGGAAGGGGGGAAGGGGGAGGGGGGGAAGGGGGGAGGGGGAGGGGGAAGGGGGAAGGGGGTAGGGGGTAGGGGGGGGTAGGGGGTAGGGGGTATCATCATGGGAGAGAGGAAAGACAGTAAATGAGGTTTGACACTTCACCCGGTGGGCGTGAGTGGGGATCTGTGTCTATTGTCTTCCTCTCTCTCTGCTCTCTCTCTCTTCATCTTTCTCTTTCTCTCTTTCTTCAGCTCTCTCTTCTCCTCTTTCTTCATCTCTCTCTCTCTCCTTCTCTTTCTCTCTCTTTCTTCATCTCTTTCTCTCTTCATCTTTCTCTTTCTCTCTCTCTCTCTCTTCATCTTCTCTCTCTCCTCTCTCTCTCTCTCTCTCTCTCTCTCTCTCTCTCTCTCTCTCTCTCTCTCCTCTCTCTCTCTCTTTTTCATCTTCTCTCTCTCTCTCTTCTTCCTTCTTGTATTTTTTTTCTCTCTCCTTTTTCTGTTTATTTCTGGTTTGAACGATGATCACATTTTTATTTCTAATGCAAAATTACCGAAATTTAACAAACCTAGGCGGAATAAATTCAATTATTTTCTTTTTCTTTTATACAGCGATAAGAAACAAATACACATTGTATAGTGAACGATACAATAAGAAATCCGAACACTCGTTATGAGAAAGACCCTGTATCATTTTCGAAAGAATAAATACATTTAAGAAGATCCTTAAACGAATTCGTCTTGGCATGAGTCCACACCCACCCCCTACCCCCCTCCCCCCCTCCCCCCTCCACCCCCCTCCACCCCCCCCCCCCCCACCCACGCCCGTGTACCGCATCTATTATTCATGAGATGAGATAGAGACATCACCCAGGCGACACAGAAATTATACCTTTCCAGAATTCACCACAAACCGTTTTCGCTTAACAAAAAAAATAAATAAATAAATAAAATAATAATAAATAAATAAATAAATAAATAATAAAAATACATAAATAAATAAATAGATAAATGAATAAAATAAAATAGATAGGTATAGTATGTTTATCGAAGATTTGATTAGGTTATACTGTATGAATATCACGTTCAGAATTATTATTTACACAGACCACTTTAAGTATATAACACAAGAAGGAGATGGATTTTATATAGACTTAATTGTATATGTAACGCGAGAAGAAAAAAAAGAAAAAGGAAAAAGTAGAAGGAAGAAAAAGAAGAAATTAAGAAGAAAATGTAGAAAGAATAAAAAGAAGAAGAAAATAAGAAGAAAAAGAAGACGAAGAAGAAGTGGAAGAAAAAGAATGAAGAAAAAAGAACACTTCATTTATCTTTCAAAGTTTTCAAAGCGCGGTTGTAATGAGTGATGTTATCTCAACCTTACTAATATACCTTATCTCGATACTTAACATTCTCGCTCACATATTTCCTTCAACAACAATAGTAACAACACCTATAAGAACACCATAAGCACTATAACCTATTTCTTTCAACAACAATAATAACAACACCTTTAAGAACACCATAACCACCATAACCACTATAACGATATTTTATAACCAGTGTCTCATATTCCTTTATCCAATCCACACCATTTTATAAAAAGGGGAAAGTGTAAGTTGACACATGCTCTTATACTCGCTCCTACAAATATAATATCTTTAAAGACACAAAAGGTCCTAGTTCCAGTCTTTATAAGTTCCCCAGTCAGCGCATAGAAAGGGAAAATGTGTGCCGACGCATGCGCAGTCACTCACTTTCATTAGAACACGTAACAGCACCCTTCAGAACACAACCATTATAACGAGAATGTACAGGTCTCTCCTATTTACTCATTCACGCATTTTATAGCATCCACACATCAAAAAAATGGAAAATGTATGTCTCAACGTATGAGCATGAACTCACTCCCACAAGTATAACATCACTTATAAGAACACCGTTAACCATTAAACCACAATAACGAGTGTATATAACCCGTCTCTATTATTCCCCAATTTAAACTCCACGCAACATACTGTATAGAAAGGGAATAAAAAGTTAGCCGACGCATGCGCATATACACATACTCTCATTACCAAAAGTATAACAACACCTATATGAACACCATTAGCCATTATAACGATAATAAACAAGTCTCTCCTCTACCCCAGTTTACCCATTTTATGAAGTCCACACAACATAGAAAGGGAAAATGTTAGTCTTACGTCACTCACTTTCATTCACCACAAATATACCAACACCCATAAGAAAAAAACCCAACCACTATAACAATAACAACGTTAACAAATCCCTGCCATTTCCCCCTTCACACGCCTTATCCGATCACCCACAGCGCAGAGAAAGGGAAAATGTTAGTCTTACGCGCAGACAGCCACTCCCATTAGCACGGAACCGCCTACCTTGACGCGTGTAGTCGGGCCGCCCTCCTTGAACAGACTGACTCCCTCTTCTTCGGTTCCCTCCACTTTCTTTGAATTGGGCGGAAGGTCTTTGAGTGTGTGAGAGGAAAGGTGGGGGGGGGAGAGGGGAGTAAAGGTGGGTGAGGGGGAGGGAGGGTAGGAGGGAGAGGGAGGTGTAAGGGAGGGAGGGAGGAGGGGAGTGATTGTATAGGGGAGGTAGGAGGGAGTGAGTGTTTAGATGGAGGGGAGGGTAGGAGAGAGTGTGTATAGGGGGAGGAGGGGGGAGGGAGTGAGGGAGTAGGTAGGTAGGGCTAAGGAGGGGGGGAGGGGAGGGAAGGAGGGGATGAGTGTATATGGGGAAAGGAGGGTAGGAGGGGAGTGAGTGAAGAGAGGCTGGAGGGGGGGGGTAAGGGTAGAGGGAGGGGGATAGGGGTGGGAAGAGAAATTGGTTGGGGGGGGTAGAGGGGGAGGGAGGAGGGGGAGTAATTGTGTATGGGAGGGTGTTGCGGAGGAGTTTTTGTGTTAGCTTTTTTGGTCCTAAGGCAATGCGTGTGTTATGTGTGTTGTGCGTGTGTGGGGTTGTTAAAAGAAGTATGTATGTATTAGTTTCAGTCTCAAAATGTGTGTATTTGTCTTTTTGTTTATGCTCGTGTGATTGTTTTGTTCGTGCTTGTTGTGTGTACGCCTGAGAGAGTGTGTCTCTGTATGCCCGTGTGTGTGTGTATGTGCCTATACATGTATACCTGTGTACCTGTATGTCTATGTAAATCCCAGTATGTGTGTGTATGCAGTCCGAGAAGGGGGTAGAGGGGGGTGTAGGGGAGAGACCAGAGACAAGACCTAAGATCATCATTAGTGCAAAATATCACACACATTAACCTTGAGTATTTGCCTTACCAAGTCTTCTCCCGAGAATCTATGAATGAAATCAGCTGTTTGGATCTTCCCAAACGCATCTGTTTACATCCACATGAATGGATACCTGTGAATCTATGAATGAAATCAGCTGTTTGGATTATCCTAAATGCATCTGTTTACACCCACATGAATGGACACCGTTCATTAAAGGCCATAAAGAAATAAGAAAAACAGAGAATGGAAGGCATAAAAGTCATTATAAGATGTTTTTGATATTGATCGTTTTATGGTGTTTTGTCGTGTCTGTGCGGGCGACAAGGTGACGGGTGTCTTCGCTGACGAAATGGGATGCCATCTGGTGGGTTGTTTATTTTTCACCGCAAGGTAAACATGTACTCTCTCTCTCTCTCTCTCTCTCTCTCTCTCTCTCTCTCCTGCTCTCTCTCTCTCTCTCTCTTCCTCTCTCTCTCTCTCTCTCTCTCTCTCTCTCTCTCTCTCTCTCTCTCTCTCTCTCTCTCTCTCTCTCTCTCTCTCTCTCTCTCTCTCTCTCTCTCTCTCTCTCCTCTCTCTCTCTCCTCTCTCTCCTCTCTCTCTCTCTCTCTCTCTCTCTCTCACTCAGTCACACACACACACACACACACACACTATATATACATATATATATATATATATATATATATATATATATATATATATATATATAATTATATATATATATATATATATATATATAATATATATATATATATATATATATATATATGTGTGTGTGTGTGTGTGTGTATGTTTGTGTGTTATGTATAGAAGATAGATGAATAGATAGATAGATAGAGGTTTATACATACATATATACATATTTTCTTTTACTTCTTCAAAATGTAAAAATGTATCTCACCCTTGGCTCCCCGATGCCACCACACCAACACACGACACACACACACACACACACAACATACACACAACCTTCAAGCTTGTATTTTTGCAGAAGCTAATTGTTATCTCGGATCTTATCTACTTTGTCTTGTCTCGACCTGTCTATAGACCTTGCAGGGCCTAGGAGAACCCCCCCCCCCCCTTCCCCTTCCCCCCTCCTCCCCGGCCTAGCCTTATAGGTATAGTTTGGACAAGGTTCTTATAATGGGCGTGGGGAAGCTATGGTATCTATGGTATTGCTTCCACCATACTCCATGCCTCTAGCCCTTCCATGTAGATGTTTTTGTAGAGTATTGTACAAGAAATATCCATTCTCATTCATACCTTTTCTACATTTGTCAACATGAATACGGTTCACATATATATTGAACTATATACTACCTATCAATATGAACTTATACTTATGCAAAAAGTTCTCTCCATCTTTCGCTTTCGTCTGTCTGGGTATCTATACTATATATATATCTATCCAGCAATATATCTGTCTATATACCAATCCCTCCTTCGATCCATCTATTTTCCTGCTTATTTATCGATCTCCTTAATTATCTAATCTCTTCATAGACACAAATATTAAGTACCATAATGGGAAGTAGTTACAGGAGAGACTATCATAAAAGGTCGAACATTCTCACTAAAGTTTCAGCATTGTTGGCGATTATCAGAGCTGCTACACACGTCACCAAACTCGACCTCTATAGTAGGTCGTAGATGGCTGTAGAATGCGAAGGGGAGCTCTCCATATTAAGGTCATGGCACAAACACACACATACACGCAGACACCCGCACACAAACGCAAACACCAACGCACACACACACACACATAGACATACACACATAGACACACACACACACACACAGATACACATACACACACACACACACACACCTACATATACACATTATAAAACACCAAACGAAAAAAAAAAAAGTTATATGTCTATGATATTGGTTTTTGTGCAAATGTGACAAAAACAAGAAAGAAAGAAATTGTTATTGATCTTTAGAAAAGCCAACCCAAAAGAAAAGAACAAAAGTGTTCGTTGTTCACTTTCCTTTCAACCTTTCCCGACGGAGAGACAAAAGAAGAAAAAAAAAAAACGAGTCAAACGGGTTTATTTTTTTCTTCGAATGCGATAGGAAAGCTCGTTGGGAATTCCCCCCCCACCCCCCCACCCCCTTTTCACCGTTATATATATTAGCGTGTTTATTGGCGTTAGGGAATAGGGTATCCAATGTCCTAAGATTTTCAATAACCTTTTCAAGATTACCATTCGATCCTGGAGAGATTAGATCGGAGTGTAGTCCTTGTGTAAGCATTGAGATTAAGCGTTTCTAAAGCTTACTCTTGATTCATGTTTGTTTTTCTTTCTTTTTTTTGTATTTTTACGATCGATTAACGAAGGAGATTATATAGAGAAGATTTTTTTTTTAAGGAAAAGCTAAAATACGTTGATATGTGAGTTACGTTTGAGGAAAGCTAAACACAGTATTCGGTAGACACTTTTTATACACAATCTGACAAATCTATACACACAACCATTTTACA